TTAACCACTAAGAAGAATGTATGCAATGTGTTAATTATTGAAACTGTCCTACCGATTTGATTTGAAACTATCTCATTGCTATTTGTTTATCAATAAAATTATGTCAAAAAAAACCCAAAACACAAGTGGTTGATAACCATTTGAGAAAAATGTATAGTCAGGTTCTTATTTTACATTATACCAAAAAATAAAGTTTAGACTTTAAAGTTCTGAAGGCGATAAATTTAAAAAAAATCTTGGTTTTAATGTGGGACTCTTAGTTAGGACAAAAATAGAAAAACATGCTACAGGTCAAAACATATGGTTATATAAACATTATATACTTGTATCATAATTGAAAGACAAGGCTTTAATTGAAATTTATTTATTTATTTATTTGATACAAGGTCTTGCTACACAGTTCAGACTCATAGTTCTTGTCTTAACCTCCCCAGTACTGGGATTACAGATGTGTGTCACCATGCCTAGGGTTCCGGGGCTAGCATGGCATGCAGTACCAATGACAGAAGGATTTTTTTTTTTTTTTTTGGCTCCAAATGCCTTCAGGGCAGGTTTGGCTGGCTTGAGTTGTGGGGATCGAACCACAGCAACTTGAGCTTGACTGCTTTGTTGAAGCAGCCACTTAAAGAACTGAGCTAAGGGGCAGGCCCCCCCCCCCCCAGTGATCAGACTTAGGTCTTTGCACTTGCCAGGCAATTGCATAGACTGCTGAGCTATCTTCCCAGCCCAATGAGAATACAATTAAAATAGATGTTTTCATTATACTTCTCTAAATATACACACATGCATATAATATATATAAAATATATGTGCATTAAAATGAAAAGATTATCTGTAATATCTATAATCTACAACAAAATAAAAATGTGAAGTGTGCAGAGGATATGAATGATTAAGAAAAATAATAAAATAAAAAGCATCTTAAAAACTTTACCAGAGTTTTAATCTGGAGTTATAACAAGGTATCATTTTTTTTCTATTTTGTAAATTTAAAAGATTTTATTACCTAGTATTGGTGAGAGTATGGAGGGAAGGCATTCATGATTAGGCACATACATTAACAGCTTTCTTCAAGGGCGGTTTCTTAGTGTTTCACTTGTTCTGCATGTGTTAATGGGGGCTGAGGTTGTAGCTCATTGGTAGACCATGTATTTAGTATATGTGAGTCCTTAGGTTCCATCTTTAGACCAAAGAAATGAAAACAAAGTAGTAATAATCTCCATAATTGAGAAATTAAAACTTGGGTAAGTATTTGATAAATCAGGAAACTCTTCAAGTGGCATTTAAACTGAATGTACTGTCTGTTCTATTTTGAAATATATCTGTGATATGCTATTAAGGAAAGAAGACAGTTGTGCAAAGTTATGTTTTGCTTCTAGAATAACTTTTATAGAAAGCATATATATAGAATAGTAATGGATTTTTAACACTGGTTACCGTGAGGAAGTTGAATTAAGTTTTAAGGCATTAGGAAGCACTGATTTTAAAATATATTTTGTAATTACCAAGAAAATATAATTCTGGATTTAATTCCTTTGAATGACTTACAGTTTTTGGAACAGTGTAAAAGTTAATCAGAGTGAATCCTGGGCCAGAAAAGAAAACAAAAGACCAGAAAAGAATTTTATTAATTCTCTTTATAGTCCTATTTTCTAAATTACATTCTGAAGTAACTCTTACTTACTATTCCATTATGAAACAAATAAAATATTTAAACTTTTTTGCATAAAAGAATGATAGAAAAATATAAAGCATATTGAACTGTTTGGTAAAAGAACTGTGAAAAACAAGATAAAGTAAGACATACAGATGTGCTGTTAGGCTTTAGAGTCCTAAGCTTTTAGTTTCTGTTAGCAACTTAAAAAGTAAATGGTACTGTTTTGTTTAGTTTTTATACAGTCCCGGGGTTTTAAAACTTTGAAATCAAGGACACGACGTCTGCAGTCCACCTCTGAAAGATTAGCTGAAACACAGAATATAGCACCATCATTTGTGAAGGTAATTGGATCTCTTTTAATGGTTCAGAAAGGAATAATCTTTAAATTATTAAGACAGTGAGAACATTTTCAATGTTTTATTTCTTTTGTTGGCTGATGGGTTTTCCCCTTTCTGTTCACTGATGATAAGAAATTAATGACTTGTGTAATCATTATACCTGTTGCAGTTCCCCTGGGTACCAGACTTGTTTCCACTTGCTTATTATACAGCTGCTGATGGTGTTTTTCATACCAACCTATATGTGCTTGTTTGTACCTTGTATAAACCAGTAGCACCCACCCAAGTTAGCAACCTGGTAGTTGGGCAAGATTGTCTTTCTTTATCTTTCGTATTTATTAATCACTGTGGATCCAATCTCTTAAATATTTCTGAAGTTTTTCCATTTATTTCCTGTTTTACTGCCTTTTATGTGCTGTAACCATTTTTACCTGGATTACTGTAACATTCATTTAATCTTTCTTCCCTCTAGTCTGGCTACATTTGTCTTGCTTCCAGACCCACTATCAGTCTTTCTAAAATAATATAGTCTGGTCATGTAGCTCATTGGTAGAGTGCTTGAGGCCTTGGGTTCAACAAAGTAAAGTTCAGTAATAAAATGATGATCCAATTCAATCTGGTATATAGGACACTTCATTGTTTGGCCTCTACTGACCATTTTTCTGTTCTCCTTTTCAGTTTACCACATAGTTGTTCCATGTCCTCTACTTTTGGCCTTTAAGATGTGTCTGATCACATACAGTTCTTGAATACTGTTTCATGGCTCTGTCAGGTTTTCCCTCTGTATGGTTTCCATATCCATTCTCTATGAGGTCTTCATGGTGTTCCATATATAGCATTTCTTTTTACTACTATAACAGTACTTCTGTAGATACCTTTTTTATTTGGTACAGGGTCTCACTATGTAGTTCAGACTCGTAGTGACCTCCTACTTTAGCCTCTCCAGTCCTGAGAATCAAACCTGGGTTCTTGCGCTTGCCAGGCAGGCACTGAGACCTGAGCGATCTCTCTGGCCCATGATTTCAAAATTATCATTATTATTATTATTATTATTATTATTTTCCATAATTTTATTGACAAATACCAATGAGACAGTTTCAAATCAAATTGGTAGGACACTTTCGATAATTAACACATTGCATACTGTCTTCCTAGTGGTTATTTGCTGTACAAGATGCAGACATGATATCCTATTTACGAACACTATTACAACAAATCCCTCTATCAAAATTATTTTTTTAAAAAGTTATTTATGTATTTTTTCCAGTAGCCTGGAAACTTTAATGCTTTTATCTTTACATCTTTAGAACTAGGCCTAGTATATGCAGGGTGATATTTTTTTCTCTGTTTGAGATGGGGTTTTGCTGTGCAGTTCAGGCTGGTCTTGATCTCAGTTTGTAGTCCAGGAGCCTCAAACTTACAGTGATCCTTCTGCCTCAACCTCCTGAGTGCTGGAATTACAGATATGTGCCACCATGCGTGGCCATGCACAGTAATATTTTCTGGTTTTTTTTCTTCTTCTTGGTATTGGGAGTTGAACTCAGGACCTTATACTTGCAGGTCCAGGCAGGGACTAACGGTGTTAAGCTATATCCCCAGCTGGGGGTAATATTTTAATCTTACTAAGGTAATGAAATTTTTCTTCTAGCAGATATAAAAGTGGTATGAACATCAAGTCATTAAAAACCTAAGTGTTATGTCACAGTGTTTTCGGTATAGTGTAGTGCAGAGAGTAATGACGCTTAATGTTCATAATTGGTTTGTGTGCATGTGGGATCTAGTTTTAGTGTCCTGGTCACTTGATTGATTAATTTGGTGTTGAATCTTAATCTGTTCACATTGGCAATACAAATGAAATTCTAGACTTCTAATTAATTTTTTAGTGGGTGATTATGATGTAAACGGGGATTGTTACTGTCTATAAGTTGACCAATAAATATTGTTGTGTTATTTCATGCATTTAGGGGTTTCTTTTACGAGACAGAGGATCAGATGTTGAGAGTTTGGACAAACTCATGAAGACTAAAAACATACCTGAAGCTCATCAAGATGCATTTAAAACTGGTTTTGCTGAGGGTTTTCTGAAAGCTCAAGCATTAACACAAAAAACCAATGGTAAGTTGATTTGAGAAGAATAACTGAAAGGATGTCATAGCCCTACATTTAAACTATTATAAATGACTTTTCTAAAATCATCCATCCTGTTTCCCATCATTTGAGAGGCTGAGGCAGCAAGCTTATCATGAATTTGGGACCAACCTGGGTTACATATGGAGCTCAAAGCCAGATTGTACTACATAGTGGGATCCTGTCTCAGGAACAAAAACAAATTTCCTTCTTTACATGGGTTTATTGCATTATATTTGTAAGTAAAGCTTCATTGAATGGAGATATACTGGCAATTTATTTTCTCAAGAGAGGAACTAAAGTCAGAGACTTTATGTGGTTTCGTATGTGAGAAACCTTCAGATCTCGCTTCTGACACCATGTAATGTCCATCATTTCAAACTGGAAACTGAAACAAGAGACCAGGCTTTTTTAGGGCATCTTAGGAATTCCAGTTCAAGATCCAGCTTAGGATGGTTCTGAATCAGTAAGGCCTGAAAAGTGAGACAAAGAGCAGAGGATCTGTGAGGAGATAAAAATGGAAATCTCTATAGGCATGAGTCTCCTCAAAAACAAATTTCCTCAAAGGTTTGAGGAAGACCGTGCTGAAAGGAAACCATGCAGTTGTGCGCAAGAATGCCAGCTTTCAAAATAGCGTGTGATAAAAGTGTGATTATCAATAAGCGTTTCTTTTAAGCTGTAATACCTCATTGGTGGCATTTGACTTAAGCAGTTTCTCTTTTTCTTTCAGATTCCTTGAGGCGAACTCGTCTAATTCTCTTTGTTCTGCTGCTATTTGGCATTTATGGACTCTTAAAAAATCCATTTTTATCTGGTAAAGTCTCTTATTTATCTGCCATGTTAACATTTGTATTTCTTTAAATATTCTTTTCCTCTTCACTATAGATTTATGGTACAGAATTTTTGTGTTGCTACAAGGCTGACTACTTTATAAAGAAAAGAGGTTTATTTAGCTAGTAGTTTTGGAGGTTTGTGGCCACGGCACCTTGTGAGGACCTCCTGATGGATGGCTTTTACAAGCCCTTGCATTCGTAGTGGTTAGTTTTCCAGGGTTTCAAAAAATGATGGATTGGATGACAAAGTTTTAACACAGAGAATTTTATAATAACAATAAAAGATAGTTTTATGTTTCAAAGACAAGTCCATAAATTGAATTTTTCTTTCTTTTTTCTTTTTTTTTTTTTTTTTTTTTTTTTAAGGGTACTGGGGATTGGACTGAGGACCCTGTGCTTGCCAGGCAGACGCTTATTCTGCTCTCTCCCCAGCTCCAATTTTTTTCTGAAGATAATTAAATGAATCCAGTATCTTTTCAGTTTGCAGTTCTGAAATACAATTATAATAATGGATTTAGGTGTTTCTGATTATCAGCTATCATTTAGTTTTTGCCACATGTTCTTTCTCTATAATTAAGTATCTAAGACTCTTTAAACACTATTAGGTTTGTCCTGCTAGTGTCAATTTTAGAATTGCTGTTTTATATATTTGTTCTCTCACATATTTTTATGTTCTTGATGTGTTAAGTATTTCTTTTTGTTGCTAGTATTTTTTTCTTTTTGTCTAAGGACTTGCACTCAGCCATATTCACAGCTCTTTTTTTCTGTTTTTGACTCAGAATCTTACTGAGTTGCCCAGGTGGGCTTGAGTTTGATATCCTCCTTCCTCAGCCTCAAAATGTTGGGATTACAGATATATGCCACCATATCCAGCAATCATTTCTTTCTTTTGCCTTTTTTTCTTTTGTATTTTTTTAGGGAAAGGTCTACACAGTGTTCAGGGTCTCAGTACTAGATCCGACTTGTAGTGATCCGCCCGTTTACAGCCTCCTAAGAGCTGGGATTACAGGCATGTGCCACCACTCCATCTCAGTTGCCATCTCAGCACACCCCAGGGGTGGGGCTGGCACAGCAGGCCCCTACACCTGCTTGCAAGCACTTTAATCCTCTGAGCTGTTTGGCTGGCCCTCTTTTGCCTTATTTTTTGCATCTAAATTTCACTAAATCTGTATCAGTCAGGGTTTACTAGAGAAACAGATAAAACATAAGATGCACAAATTTATAAGAAATTGCAAGCTTGCATTATAATTGTCAGCCACTGAGTTGAAAGAGTAAGAGTCTATAGGGTGTGTCTGCATGCTGGATACTGAAGGGTCCAGTTTAAGGTCTGGTGCTTTCTGCTGTGTTGTGTGCAAGTCCTTATCTGGAGGCCTACAGTGGGCCTGGGACAGAATGCTGAAGCATACGTGCCAAAAGGCTGAAGAATCTACACTGGAAGGCTTAAAAGTCTATGCCAGAAGGCTGAAGAATCCCAGATGGAAACTGAATAGTGTGCACCAGAAACCAGGAGACAGTGACCTAGCTGGAAGTGAAGACTGGAGCTCCGCTGAAGAACATCAATCAGTTCTTTCTTATTTCTCTTTTATTGTATGCAGGCAACCTGCCCTGGGTGGTGGGGGTGGTCCTTTACACCCACATTGTCTCCCTGCCTTTCTCTTGCTCAGTCTCAGCATGTTTATAAACCATCTTAGTTCCTCTTCTCTTGTTGCTGAGCCAAAATACTCGATGCCCAGAATTAAGGAAGGAAAGGTTTATTTAAAGTTCATAGTTCATGGAGGTTTCAGTCCATAGTCTGCTGCCTCTAAGGCAGAGTGGTACGTGGCAGAGAAACAGTTATTCATGGTGATGTAAGACAGCTAAAGCGATGAGCAAAAAGGAGCAAGAGAGCAAGCCTCTTTCCCGCCTTCCTATTGTATGCAGGGAATAACCTCAGGGTGGCTGTAGCACTCCCACCCATAAGCCCAGCATTGAACCGTGAATTGATCACTAACTCAAGAAGCCCACCTCTGTGACTACATGAGGCTTGGGGGGACGTCCAGAGACGTCATAGCATTACTTCCCTGGTCCACTAAACACTCACGCCTTTTATGCAAAAGGTATTTTAGTCCATCTCTTAAGAGTTGCCAAAGTACTAATAATGTCAACATTGCTGAAAAGTCCAAGTCATAAATCTCAGATGCAAAGCTCTTAACTGTGAACCCCTGTACAAATGGAAAGTTAAACACTTCCAACATTCAGTTACAGAAGATAAATGTTTCCATTCCAAAAGTTACAAACAGAGATACAAAGAAATGGGACCAATACAAGTCCAGAATCCAGGAAGGCAAACATTAAGTCTTATAGTTCCATATAAAAATCTGAACAATCTGTTAAAATTTGTGAGCTCAAAAGGCCTTATGTGGCTCTACCCCATGACACTTCCAGTGATTGCAGCTCTGATGGTTTCTTCTTGGGCCTGTTTTGTTCTCTCCTTACAACTTTCCTTAGGTGAGCCAGAAAGGATGAGGCTGATGCTACATGAGGTGCTGGGGATCGATCCCCAGTCCCAGCCCTTGCCTAAGCAGGTGCTTAGTCTGTTGAGCTATCTTGCCGGTCCAAGTTTGTTTGTTTGTTTGTTTAAACAAATGGACCAATTTTTCATGCTGTGTTTAAGACATATCTCATAGTGCAAGTCTGTAACTGGTTGTATGGGAATAATTAAAGGTACTTGTTAAGAATGCAAACTCCTGGACACTCAATTCTGCAAGAGTGTAGCATGGTTTTGGAGACTATCATTAATTATAACACAATTCTCAAGTGATTTCTTAAAAAAATTCATACTGAAATTTGATAACCATTGATTTAAGGTTTCTATTACTAGGTATTACAAGGAGAAGAGGAAAATAATTAATGATTTTAATTGGAAAGTGTAAAAGTGTGTGTCTTTAATGTGAATCAAACATGGTCTAGAGATCCAGAACTTAGGCTCTGCTCTGTACTTTGATTTAGTATATTTGAATTGAGATTTCTCAGATGCTTAATTTTCGTACGTTTTACATTCTTGCATCTGAATACTGTCGGTTCGAATTTTATTAATTATCGAATATTAATGTGTTTTCTTCTATTTTAGTCCGTTTCCGGACAACTACTGGGCTTGATTCTGCTGTTGATCCTGTTCAGATGAAAAATGTCACTTTTGAACATGTTAAAGGAGTAAGTTAAGATTTCTTTGCCCATTTTGTATACTGTATAATTGGTACTGTATGTAAGGTCAATATTCGATTCTGAAGGTTGTTCTGGAATAGGTAAATTAAATAAAAATTAGCAACCGTAGAATCTTTATGGGGACCAAGGTAAAGAGAAATTGAAGTCTTAGGAAAGGGGCTGCAATTTTAAATAAGGTGGTTGGTTTGGTTTTTTGTTTTGTTTTGTTTGTTTTCCTTTTTTTGATCTGTTTGAGACAGTGTTTTACTACATAGTTTAGGCTGGCCTTGAACTCTCAGCGATCCTTCTGCTTCAGCCTCCCAAGTACTGGGATTATATGCATGTGCTACCACATTCAGCCTTTAGTAAGATTTTCTTGGGGCTGGAGAGATGGCTCAGTGGTCTAAAGCACCTACTTGAAACAAGCTTGGCAAAGCACAGGGACCGCGGTTCGATCCCCAGCACCACATGCCAGCCAGACCCGCCCCCTGGTGGGCTGAGCTGGCCACACACACACACAATAAATAAATGTAATAAATAAAAATAAATAAATATTTAAAAAAAAAAAAGATTTTCTTAGGCTTGATTGTGAAGCTAAATAGGTAAAAAATAGTAGGTGATAAGGCCAGGGAGTTATATAAGAGCACATTACATAGTGTCTTAAAAGCCATTTTGAACTTCCTTTTACTCTGTGTAAATTGGTTCCATTGAATTTTGAGCAGAGAGATGATACAGCTTAATTTGTGAGAACAGTCTAGTTGCTGTGTTCATAACCTCTAAATTAGAATCTTTCAAAGACAAAGGTGGATGACAAGCTGTTGCAGTAGTCCAGGCAAGAGATGATGTTGGCTTAGACAAACATTGCAGTGGAGTTGGTAAGATGTAGTTATATCGTTAAGGTAGATACAATAGAATTTCCTGATTAGAAGTTAAAAGTACAAGAGAAAGATGGGTCAAGAAGACCATAAGAAAAAAAAAAAAGACCACAAGGTTTAAGTATGAGCAATTAGAGGAACAGATTTGCCATTTTCTGAAATTAAAAAAATTAGGCTATGGGTAGAGCCGAAATTCATAGTAAAGATTAGAAATTTAATTTAATTAAATGTGAAGTATACAAATGAAACCATTGAATATGCACTTGAGTGCATTATATTGGAATTTTGGGAAAGTTCAAGCTAAAATGAAAAGTCCTGAAGTTTACATTCATAGATACTAAGTCTGTGGGTTTGAATGAGCTCACGAATGAAGTTATTATGACAGAAAAGAGGTATGAGTTTAAACTGCAGAGCACTAATGGATTAACAGGCCTGGGAAGAGAAACCAGGAACAAATATTAAGGAGTTGAAGTAGGTATGGGGGAATAAACTGGAAGAGAGTATTTCCAGCATGAGGGAGAGGGGTCAGCTAGCTGTATGTTGATGGGTCAAGTGAGAATTGGATTTCATTTTAGCAGTGTGCCATTGGTGTACTTGATAATGAACAATTGCAGTGGGATTAGCAGGGCTAAATTGTGACTGTTACGAGTTTATGAGAGATAGATGGCATAGAATAAGCATTTATAAATAATTGAATTTTATTTGAAGAAAGGCACATAGATAACTTACCTTGTAGCAGGAAATAAAATAGGGTATTAGTAAAGTAGTAGATGAAAGTTGTTTGAAGTCAGACTCCAGGTTATCAGCTGACCACATGGACAGAAGGGTGATGTGTAATTTCTGAAAAAGGTAAAAAATTTTGTGAGGATGGGAGAATGAGTAGCTTAGGGAAATATGAACCTCTTCCATTTGGATCATGAAATTATATCAAGACTTCAGCACAAATACTTCTGTCTAATTTCAATTTTTTTCTTCAAATATGAAGTCTGGAATTTTAGTTCTATACTGTACTCTTATGTGCTCTACTAATTTGATAAGCTTTTGATTTTGGGAATGATAAATTCTGGATAATTGTCTTTTAAGGAATGTTTTGGGAGAAATCTTTTTTTTTTAATTTTTTTAGAAATCTTGCTATAAGAAGAATTTGAAATTTGTGATCTAGATGTAAAGACTTCCTCCTCTCAAAAGACATTTTAAGAAGGACTGTTAGCTGAGTATGGTAGATCATGTATATAATCCCATCTACTCAGGAGGCTGAGTCAGAAGATTACAAGTTAAATCCAACCTGGGCAAATTAACAATACTATGTCTCAAAAATAAAAAATTAAAGGGACTGGGATGGTCTCAGTGGTACAGCGGTACAGCACCCATAGGTTCAATCCCTTGTATTGTGGTCAGTTTTTAATTTTTTTGAAAATTAGGACGTCCTGAGGATGGATCAGTACTTAGCATTCATTGGGTTCAATCACTGGTGCTGACACTACACGTGTGCGTGCGTGTATATATATATATGCAAAATTAGTATGGCCTCAGAATAATTTATTTTCTTTTTCTTTTTTGGTGGCCAACTCAGCCTGCCCAGAGGGCAGGGCTGGCATGGCATGTGGTCCCAGGGATCAAACTGTGGTCTGTGTGCTTGCCTAAGCTTATGTAAGTAGGTGCTTTAGACCACTTAGCATTTCTTTGGTCCAGTAATTCATTTTCTTGATCGTCTTTAGCAGTATTTTCCTCAGTAGGTTTTATATTCTTCAATTGGGAATACTCTTGCCAAAGAAGTTGAAAGAGAGTGTAATTAATTTGAGAAGTAAATGATGTTTAATCTCTTTTCATTCTTGGAAATCAATGTTGGCATTATGTCCATAAGGGGTGCAGTGTGAAGGAGGGTCTTGCTATGTATTCTAGGCTGGCCTCTTACTTACTGTGTAGCCCAAGTTGGCCTCAAACTTGTGATCCTTTAGCCTTCTGGTGGGATTACAGGCATGCAGCACCATACCTGGCTCATTATTTTGACCAGTTTTATATCAGTCTTATTTTTGTATGTGTCTATCTTTGAATCTGTAATTTTTTTTTAAATGTATTTGATATAGGGTCTCACTACATAGATCAGACTCATAGTGATTCTCTTGTTTTCAGCCTGCTAAGTGCTGGGATTACAGGTGTGCACCACCACTCCCAGTCTCAATCACTGTCTCAGCACGCCCAAGGGGTGGGACCGGCACAGCACACCGGGGATCAAATCCCAGCCTCTGTACTCTGTCTAAGCAGGCACTTTAGTCCGCTGAGGTATCTGGCCAGCCCTTGAATCTATGATTTAAATAATTTAAAACTATAATTTAAATTAATAGCCATTAATTTAAAAGTACTCTTAAATTTATCAGCCACTAAATGAAATTTATTTCAAAGTAATTTGTGTATACAAAGAACAAATACAATTATACAGTCTAAACTACAGCTAAGACATTCAGGAAGAAAAAGATGTTAACATACCTTGGCAGAGCATACTTATGAATCAAAGACTTTTGAGTTTGGAAGGAAAAATGTGTGACTAAAAGAACTCTTATTATAGCACTTTATATTCTCTTCAGATATATTGTGTCTGTTTTTTGTTTTTGTTTTTTTGAGACAGGGTCTCAAAAATGGCTCACGCCATTCTTCCTAGTCCTGGGATTACAGGTGTGTGCCACCATGTCTGACTTCTTGTATGGGAAAAGTATACTCTTAATAAATAATACAGCCAAAGTGTGTGTGTATGTATGTATGTATATGTATATATATATATGTATGAATATATATGTATATATATAAATAGATATATTTATTATTTGCAGTGCTAAAGATTGAATAGCCAAAGTGTTTGAAACTTTTTTTTTGAAAGTGTAACATGTTCATGTAGAAGTGTAGAAACCATAAATTATTGCAACATGAGCCTACCTATGTTAGTAGTGTCCAATTCAAGAACAGGATGTTAACAGATGCCCGGAGCCTCTCAAAAGCTTCTTTGTACTTACTGTTTCTTCCTCCTTATGGATAATCATTTTCCTGATATTTTATATTAGTTTTGCCTGTTTTTGAATCTTTGTATAGTTATAATACATGTATAATGTGCCCTTTCAGTTTTGGTTTTTTTGTTCAGTGTGATGTTTTTTGAGATCTAGCAATGTTATTGGGAGTTGTAGTTAACTTATCCTCATGGCACAGTTTGCCATTACACAAATTCTGCAGTATTGTATACATATTTAGATGTTTACATGGTGGTTTCTAGTTTTGCATGTAAGTAGTGTTGGTATGAATAATATTCTTGGACATGCATCTTGGTGTGAGCCATATGTAATGCACAGTTCTTCTAGGCCTTGGAGTGAGCAGCGCTTTGTTTTTAACTATTAACTTTGTGAACATTTTGGTAAAAATTTTATTTTTATTTTCATTTTTGTATTTAGTACAGAGTCTACAGGGTCTCATTATGTAGATCAGACTCACATTGATTCTCCTGTTTTGAGCCTCTCAGGCGCTGGGATTACAGGTGGGCGCCACCACACCCAGTCTCAATTGCCTTCTCAGCGCGCCCCAGAGCCGGGGCTGGCACTGCAGCCCCAGCTGCTGCTCTCTTCCTAAGCAGGTGCTTTAGTCCGCTGAGCTGTCTGGCTGGCTCAGTAAAAATTTTAAGGAGTGAATCAGAATAACTTTAAAGCCCCACCAAGCCTAACAAAAACTAATAGCAAAAAAACTTTGTGACTCTTTAGCAATATTTTCTAGCCAGGAATTGATCATGGATGTCAGTAATCCCAGCACTAAGGAGACTGAGGCAGGAAGATCACTGCAAGTTCCAGACCAGTCTCAACTGCACATTGAGTTCAAGACCAGCCTGAACCACAAAGTGAGACCTTGTGTCAAAACCAAACCAAAGCAAATCAAAAATATAGTATTTTCTGCAAATACTTGTGAGAAATTTCCTAGAAATACTGGTATAAAATAATCATGACCAAAAATTTTAGTTTCTCAGATTGCCCTTTGGCCATGTTTTACTATATGCTGGGTAGTTTTCTTCTTAATCCATTCAGTTACTTTTTTTCTTCACTGAAAAATGTAAGATGCTGAAATGATTTCTGTTGGCATAATTATGAAACATTGAATAATTGGAAAGAGGGACAAAGAAGCTTTTGAGTACTTGTAAGGGGGCATTTTATATACTTTTTCTTGACATGAAGAGCTGATTGTATTAAATTAAAATTAAATTGATGTTTAAAAAGGAATCCTTGGCAATCTAACCAATAAGTGTTATTTGAAGTATTTGACAGGGCTGGGGAGATAGCTTGTCAGTCTGAGTGCCTGCCTGGCAAGCACAAGGACCTGGGTTCAGTTCCTAGTACTGCATGCCATGTCAGCCTAGGAACCCTGGGCACAGCTGGCCAGCCACCAAAACTGGGCGTGGTGGCACAAGCCTGTAATCTCAAAGCTGGGGAGGCTGAGGCAGTAGTATCACTATAAGTCTGAGCTGCGTAGAGAGACCCTATACCAAATAAATAAACGATTAAAAAATACTAAAGTGTTTGATGGATTATCTTTAGGTGGAGGAAGCTAAACAAGAATTACAAGAAGTTGTTGAATTCTTGAAAAATCCACAGAAATTTACTGTGCTTGGAGGAAAACTCCCAAAAGGTAGAGTATCTTTCCCCTTATCACAATTTTTATTTGTTTTTCGAGACAGGTTCTTGTTGCATAGTTCAGGCTGCCCTGAACTCAGTATGTACCTCAGGCTGGCTTGAATTTGGGGTGATCTCCTACCTCAGCCTCCCAAGTGCTGGGATTACAGGCATGTATCACCACATCCAGCTGTGCTTTTGTTTTGAGCATAGTCTTAATCTTTTTAAAAAATAATTCACATTTTTTACATGTTGAAGTTTTAAGTTATAAGAGACTAGTCTATAAGTTTGTTCTTATATCTGAAACCCACACTCACTAGTTTTTAGTATTTTGCTGACTTTTTCTCTTTAGCCACATTCATTTACTTAAACCACTTGAGAGTAAATTGTAATCATAATACTTTGTTATTCTTAAATGCAGTGGATGTTGTGAATAAGGATATTCTTTGATATAACAGTATAATTACTAAAATTAGTGAATTTATCTTGGATACAAAACAATTTCCAGTTCACATTCCATAACTAGATGTCAGCATTCATTCCAAGAGTATCCTTCAAGGACTATCCAAAGGTGTCCTTGTCCTCTACCCCCTAGTGTCGAAATCCAGTCCAGGATCACACAGAGTGTTTAGTTTTGTCATTAATGTGAGACAGTTCCTCATTCTTTTTGTTGAGTTAAGGGGTGGGGAAGAAGGTCTTTCATGATCTTTCCAGTAGTGAAGTATCAACTGCTAATTTTTGATAACATCCAGTCATTTATGTTGAATTTTAATATAGTTTCTAAGGGCTAGCCAAATAGCTCAGTGGATTAAAGTGCCTCATGCAGCAGGCACAGGGCCTGGGGGTTTGATCCCTGGGCCTGCGATGCTAGCCCCGCCCCCAGGGCATGCTGAGACAGCAGTTGAGACTGGGAGTGGTGGCATGTGCCTGTAATCCCAGCTCTTGGGAGGCTGTAAACAGGTGGATTACTAGAGTTCAATCTAGTAGTGAGACCCTGAACGCCCTGTAGACCCTTCCCTAAATTTATCTATTAACTATCTATATGTATATATATATTTTTTTCTAATTTTTTGTTACAATAGCAATGTGATAGTCATCCTAACATAGTCTTCACTCTCATGCTTAATTATTTCCCTAAAGTTTTAGAAATAAACTTGAGTTAAAGAGAAACCCTCTTTCTTACACTGCTTGATATCTCTATTGAGAAGTCAGGAATATATGAGAATGTTTGCATGAACCTTTGCTAATTTAGGGTATGTTTATGAAGTCAGTGCTATAACAAAATTACAGAAGTTATCTCTAATCAAGGAATATTTTATAAATATGTGGAGAAATCCTTAGGTATTAAGATATCTCTAGAAGTTAATGTGATTTAAATTGTAAATATGATTTAAAGCAGTTAGGTATCAGTAAAACTAGGGTAGACTTCAGTTTTTTTTACACTTTCCTTTTTTTTTTTTAATGTTACAGTGCAGCATCAATACAGATTTACCACTTTGTAATGCAGTCTGTATATTTACAAAGCTGTGATATGAATGATAATTCTACTTTTCTATTTTGCTATGAAAACTTTTCAGACTTTTGGTATAGATTAAAGTGTAGTATCCACCTAGACTCAGCAGTTTGTTAATGTTTTGTAATACTTGGTGTGTGTATGATATTGTTTTGCTTCATAAATGTTGGTAACATTTAACCATTAACCATACCCTCCTTATTGTACTTACATATATTAACATCTTTTGTATCTTGCTGATATATAAACAGGATGTAAATGACAGGAAAATTAATTCTAGAGATCCAGAAGAGAATGATTAGTAGAAATAAATGTTTTCCTGTGTTTGAAAATGTTGATGATTGTTATTTCTTCAGCTTCACAATTACATAAATTGTTTTGTTGGTTCTTAGTAGGGATTTTTTAATAACAAATCTGAATCATTTTTGTTTTTGTTTTAGGAATTCTTTTAGTTGGACCACCAGGAACAGGAAAGACACTTCTTGCCCGAGCTGTGGCAGGAGAAGCTGATGTTCCTTTTTATTATGCTTCTGGATCAGAATTTGATGAAATGTTTGTGGGTGTGGGAGCCAGCCGAATCAGAAATCTTTTTAGTATGTTGTATTATTTATGTAGTGCTAAATTTTATTTTAAGAATGTTTCTTTACTAATTCGTTATGCTTGATAGCAGAAATAGGTATTGGAGGATTCTGGTTTTAGATAACCTACCATATGAGTTAATATAGAGGTTTTTTTAGTTTTCTGATAGGCTGATCATCTTAGAGGAAATGTGGGTTGGGTGTGGTGGTGCACGCCTGTAATCCCAGCACTCAGGAAGCTGAAGCAAGAGGATTACCATGAGTTTGAACCAGTCCGGGCTACATAAGGAAGAGAGTTCAGGGCCAGCCTGAACTACCTAGTGGGACCCTGCCTAAAAAAGAAAAATGTAATGAAAATACTAGATGAGGCTAGGGGCTTTTGAGAAACTCTTTAAGTTTGTGTGTGTGTCTGATTTCATCAATTCTAGGACATATAATTAGGAGTTAGAAGCCTCTAGTTAGAAGCCTCTAGTGTATATATTTCATTCATATATATATATATATATTTAGGAAGATTAGGAAGAATGAATAACTCCTTTTAGTCAGTTATTTTATATCATTCTCTCTTTTTTTAATCCCATACTATTTTTAGTAAAAAAATGACTTTTTTGCATTTTCTTCCTATTTTTTTTTAGCTTTTGACAGTCTTATGCATTTTAATATTTGTAATGTTTTAGTTAAAAAGTATTGATTTCTTTCAGTTTATTTGAATATTTTTTTGTCTTCATAGGGGAAGCAAAAGCAAATGCTCCTTGTGTTATATTTATTGATGAATTAGATTCTGTTGGTGGGAAAAGAATTGAGTCTCCAATGCATCCGTATTCAAGGCAGACTATAAATCAACTGCTTGCTGAAATGGATGGGTAATAGAGTTTTGTTTGTATGTGAAATATGGTGATATGTTTTAAAAATTAGGATTGTTCCTGTTAAAATTTTTCAGAATAATAGGTCCCTCCTGGCACTTGCTATAAGTAGGTGTGATCTCATGCATACTGTTCTCATAAAGCATTTGATAATAATAAGGCAAAAATGGTATGGGTATAAGGAGCAAAGAATTCCCTCTTGTAGAAAGTCAAGGCGGGGTCACTACAAGTCTGATTTGTAGTGAGATCCTATAGACCTTGTACTAAATACATTAAGAGAAAAAAGAAAGAAAATCGAGGCAAGTTTTTCCTCTCAGTATTGTGCTGTTTCCATTACCGATTGGGTATTTTGTATCAGCTCTGCTCCTCTGTTCTTACATAGTCTATGGCTACCTTTTAGTGCTTTGCTGGAGTTAAAAAATTCACATCATTGTTTATAATTTAAAACCAAGAAATGGTGTTTTTTGAAAGAACTGTCTTAAAGTCAAGTTTGTGAGACATTTTGGAAATAATTAGAAAGTCTAGAATTTTGTGAGGGTAGGATACTGGAGATTCAATTCCCTGCCTTCTATTATTTTGTGATAGGCTCAGACTGACTCTGAACTTGGGATCCTCCCTCCTCAGCTGGGATTAATGGGAATGATCCTGGGTTAGAAGCACGTATTTTGAGTTGGTAAAACTTAATTTTTCAATAGGCACCCTGTCAGGTTTTTGAAATAGAGCAGAGATGAAGATATGTGATCACAGATGATTGTGGTTTATTATGAGTCTGTTCTTGACTGTTCATTAAAATTAATGATAAAAGAATTTTGTGTAGATCATTGCTGTATGTGTAATGTGCTTCATTTTTAAGTGAAAAGGCATTCTTGTTTTTCTTTTTCTCAATAGTTTTAAGCCCAATGAGGGAGTAATTATTATAGGAGCTACGAACTTTCCAGAAGCATTAGATAAGTAAGTATTAAAAGCCAGTTTTTGTAAAATGTGTCTCATATCTTATACTAAGAAGAAATCTATCACAAAAGATGACATTATATGAAATGTTATTTATATGAAATGTTCAGAATAAACAGATGTACAGAAAGAGATGAGTGCCATGGATTGAGGGGAGTGACTGCCAGTGGAGATGAGATTTTGTTTTGTGAAGATGAGACTATTCTAAAATTTAAGTTGAAGTGAACCCTGTATGATATATGTTAAATTCTGTATTATGTAAATTACATCTCATTAAGATTGTTAAAGGATTTTTTTCTTAACTAATATTTTCAGTGGAAAGTACATTTTTTTGTTTGCTTGCTCTTTTAGACCAAATCTTTCTGTATATTCCTGGCTGGTCTTGAACTACTGGGTTCAAGTGATCTTCCTGCCTCATCTCCCAAGTAGCTAAGGCTACAAGCCTGTGGCACCCACTCTAGAATTATTACACTTTGAATGACTTACATGCATGCATTTATTTCTGAGGGCATAACTACTTTTAGTTGTGTACGTATAGCTAAATGAACCTTTGTTCCCCTACCTGTCTTTGTTTTTTTTAAATGTGTTCAAAGTCATGATCTTCTGGCTCAGTTGCCTGTACAGCTGACCTTATTGGCCTGTGCTACCATGCCCAGCTGCCTGCTGTTTTTTGGGACTGTTGTTTCAATTTTGTGTTTACTGTGTGTTATCTTAGTTTATTAAATTTTGTTTTTATATTTTTCCTTCAGTGCTTTAATACGTCCTGGCCGCTTTGACATGCAAGTTACAGTTCCAAGACCAGATGTAAAAGGTCGAACAGAAATTTTGAAATGGTATCTGAATAAAATAAAGTTTGATAAGTGTAAGTCTTTCTGTAATATGGATGTTATTATCTTAGCAGTATGGTAATGTGAACACTCTTTGTGTTCTTAATGTCGTGGAAGTCCTATTCATTTATATGTCCTTTAAAAAAAATGTGTTTCTTAATTTGTGTGTATCCAAGAAATGCTATCAGTTTCAATTCCTTATTCCAGAGGTATTTTTCTATGGGATATCAAAAGATTATGTATAGTTTTTTTAAAAACACAATGTACAATGCAGAATAATTGAAAAGGCTCCATAAACAGTAGTTCATGTCAGTTTGGGACAAATAGAAAGGAAAATATAAAACAAGCTACATGGAAGTATTGTTGACACACGTGGTATATAAATGAACCTATTAGGCTTCACTGTTTTCAGAGGTAGCTGAAACATGCCATAAAGCAAATCTGTTTCTTTATAATAAGGAGAGGTTTTATGTCACAGGTATTGAATGTTGTCTTGGTCTGGTCACAGTATAGGTAATGTTTGAAGTTTCTAATTAGTAATTACATTTAGAACTTACAGGATTTTTCCCAGTTATGATTTTAATGGAGTATTTTGGCACTTTTTCCCAGTTTAGTAAATTTGAGTCTAATTTTAAAGGTGAATATTTGAAGTTATAGTTCAGAGAGTTGTATTCTTTTTTTCTTTAATATGTGTGTTCTTTATAAAGCATTTTCTTTTAGATATTTTAGACTTTAATATTGTGTTCTGTTATATAGCTGTTGATCCAGAAATCATAGCTCGAGGAACTGTTGGGTTTTCTGGAGCTGAGCTGGAGAACCTTGTGAACCAAGCTGCATTAAAGGCAGCTGTTGATGGAAAAGAAATGGTTACCATGAAGGAACTAGAGTTTTCCAAAGATAAAATTCTAATGGGTAGGTTTCTTTCTTTTTTCTATATTTTTCATGATGTTAGGGAATGAATTTTTTGGTAAATATTCTTTTAAATAGCTAACCCCTTAGACTGTACTGAATTTAATCTTTTTAAAATTTCAATTTTAAAATTTGTGATAAACCATTTCACATATTCTCAGTTTGAGAGTCAAACAGTTCCCATTATACTATATAGCAGTAATTACTGTATTTATCTTCTCATTGTGGTATATTTGTTTGTTTCTTAGACCTCTTTTTTTCTGATTGCAAACTGAAAGTTTCAGTAGGAGCACTTGGGAGGCTGAGGCAGGAGGATTGCCATGAGTTTGAGGCCATACTGGGCTCCCTAGTGAGTTCAAGGCCAGTGTGCACTACATAGTGAAACTGTCCTAAAGGCGGCGGCGGTGGGGGGGGGGGCGTTAAAAAAATGGGTAGGGCTAGGGGTTGTAACTTAGTAGTGTATGTTAAGCACTGGACTTGGTACCAAGTACTGCAAAAATAAAAAGAAAGGCTATAGAAGCATGAAAATAAGTATCTGAAAATAGCAACATAATATGAATCTTAGAAAACAAATGTATGGCTTTTTCGCCTGCCCCCCCCTCCCCCCCAAGCGCCGCTCCGGCTGTACCACGCTCTCTCTGAGCTCCGGGCTCCTGCTAAGCTTGCGCGGTCCCCACCTCCCTCAGCCACCATCATGATTATCTACCGGGACCTCATCAGCCACGATGAGATGTTCTCCGACATTTACAAGATCCGGGAGATCGCTGACGGGCTGTGCCTGGAGGTGGAGGGCAAGATGGTCAGTAGAACAGAGGGTGCCATTGACGACACGCTCATTGGTGGCAATGCCTCCACTGAAGGCCCAGAGGGCGAAGGCACCGAAAGCACAGTAGTCACTGGTGTAGATATTGTAATGAACCATCACTTGCAGGAAACCA